AAAGTGTGTGTGACCACTGGAGAAAATGCAGTTGCATGGGTGTGAAGTGTCTGGAAAAAGATGATTATTTGCAGCACCTGCTTTCCTGTCAAAAACACTTATTTACTGGGCAGTGAACCAGTCCCTGTCCTCCCTCCTTGGGAGGCATGCACTGGCACTGTTCACAGGGATGTGAAAGGCTGATTTTTGCGCATTATGTACATTACAGCAAGTAAAAGTATGAATGAGGTATCCAGATTTCCAGTATAACACTGAAGAACATTGGAAAGTGCTGAAAGATGACACTTAACCTTTACTCTGAAGACCCGAGCAGTGTTTATTCTTCTACAATGTGGTGGTGCTACTCACCCTCCTTATACTCTAGGTTAGCAGTGTCCAGGCCCTCTCCCATGGGATAGAGCACTGCTTTCAACACTCCCTCACCCTGTGGGATTTATCTTGAGCAAATTCACCATTTTTAAGTCAGAACTTCAATGGCAAGACACTTAGCTGTTCAGGGCAGCAGTTGCACTTGCTCTCCTTGCTGAAGCTGTGCCAATGCGCAGCAGAGAACCAAGGCTTGAGGGATGGTGGTGTATCTGGTGCCTGCACCCCATAGGGCCGTGAGCTCAGCCAGCAGAGGTGCAGTGTGGGTTGCTGCCTCTGTTTCCACTATTTTCACCATAGCTGATCTGAAGACTTCACTAGTTCAAATACAAAAGGTCCCTTGGAGCATGAGGAGCAATAGCAAAGCCCTTTCTCCTGGGTGGGTGCCCCTGCTTTGCAGCTGCAGACTCAGAGATGTGCTTGCGTATTCTTTACTTCTTGGAGGTCTTTAACTCTTGGATCTACCTTTCATCCTTCCCCTGATTTTTCTATCAAGTCATTGGAGTTGTAATGATGGGAAGGAGCCACAGATGTACACCCTCATGTGAGCAGGCATCCATTTCTTTCTCCTTGGGCTGCGTTGTCTTCAGAGCAGCAGGAGAAGCCCATTGTGGTACACATCTTTCCTGACTGAAATTGGGTTGTTCTTCTGTTTCTTGCCTAGAAAACAGTTAAACCTCTGTGGGTCTGTGCTGAGGATGGGTCTGACTGTAGAGAGGGTGTCCAGGGGGATGTTCTTTCAGCACCACTTGGAATCAAGTGAATTGCCCTCCAGGGTTCTTCATGGGCTGTAAAAGGAGCTGACAGTCTTCAGAGTTAGGGACTTACCCCTCAAACATCAAAGTTAGAACAAACATATCACATCTAAAGCAATTTGTTGCATTTTTAGCAGAAACCCTGTGTCATAGTCCAAATTTAGTCATGGTTTGGTTGGGGTTTTTTTCCATAAGAAAAGCACCATGTGTTTATAAATTGGTCTTTGCCAAATTACTTGGTCTTAAAAAGAGCTGCTCTATAATAAGCTGCATCATTAAAAAGATTTTTTTCTATGAGCAGCAGAGCCTGGTTTCCTGCGGTTTGGTGCCTCATGGTGGGATTATGTTGCATCTAATGAGGAGCACTCTGGCCGAAGCCTTTTCTCCTGTTCATAAAGACACTGTCTCATGTGAGTTCTCTGGTGTCTATAATCCATTTGGGATCAAACTGCCATTGTTTAGGTTCTCTCCTATCCGTCAATGTAATACTGCTCACATGGCCAGCTGTTCCTCCCTGGAGACATGAAAGAGTTATGCTGCTGTACCCTGATGCCTCTTCTCTCAGAAATGGCTGAAAATTAAAGCATTTGAGAATTCCATCCCGCAGTTCAATTTGACTGAAACTGGCCAACAGGCTAAAAGATAATTGAGAATAATACTGGACTAACACAATAATAAAATAAATCTAATTTTATTAGGTAATTGGTCAGTAAATGGTAGAAAGTAAATACTGGAGCAGATTAAACATGGAAAAACTGTTCATAAATATTTATTCAAGCATTTAAATACACTCAAGGTGACCAATTTTTTGCCTGTTTTGCATTTCAATTTCAGCATTTCAATTCACAGCCATATGAATGACCAACAAGAGCACAAACACCCCAACAGTTACACTCATACCTCAAAAGTAAATGTAAAATAATATTTTTCTCTGAGACTTCTTTAAAAAAAGTGACAGGGAATTATTAAACATTTCTTTCAAAATACTACAAATTTAGGATTTTAAAACAGGAATGTCAAATAATTCAGAAGCCAGATTTTGAAAATACCAAGTCAAAGAATAAAAATAGATCATGAGGTTTGTGCTGAGTTTCCAGAATTTTCAATAAACCTGAAATGAACAAAGTTAGACCAGAAATCCTTTGTTGAAGTGATTTGTGTAAATATTTCAGAAATGTGAGTTGTGAAAGGGAATTCGTAATTATGCACACACACACAAAAATTCACAGGTTTAGGAAAGAAGAAAGATATATTGTACACATTGCTCATTGTAATTTATTTTTCCAGTTCCTGATCCATAGAGACATGCTTGTCATAAAATGATTTTTGAAGATATTTGTATTTTCTTACCTTGGATGCAGTTTAGATGGATGAGCTACTATTGTTCTCCATGTTTCTCAGATTAGGAGAATCCATTTCTAAATTCAATTTCATCCTCAGTGGAAATGGTTTCTCTCACTCTGGTAATCTTTGGAGAAGAATTATACATAGTCTATAAAGCTTCAAATTTCAAAACCTAATTTTGAATGTTAGTCAAGAGGTTAATTTAAGATTCATCTTCCAAAAGGGGAGTTAAATAAAACTGATAGAAGGCTGGAACTTGTCAAGTGGTTGAAAGGTTTATCAGCATGTGAGTACGAGTTCATTAGTTTTAATTAGTATAATCACTAATTTTGCATTAATAGTTTGGTGAGAGAAAGCAATTGCTCACACCACTGTATTAGATTGGGAGATTAGAATTCATTTTATGAGGCAATTAGCATTTCAGGGATTTTTTTTTTTAAGGCTTTTATGATCTGCCACTGCAGTAGCCTTCTTCACCAAAGAGTCTAAATTAACCATAACTTTCATCCTAATGGGATGCAAAAATTAATGTAGAATTAAGTGTGAACCAGTAATCCCACTGAGATAAGCAGGCAGCTAAAGCCACAAACCTTGATTAGGTTATAATGACCTGTTTTATTTCCTGGACAATGATAGTAATTTATCTGTCCTCAATTCATTATCTTCTCAGAAAGCTTATATTCTTGGATTTTATACAGCAAAACAAATAAAATATGAGGAAGGGAAAAGTAGAACAGTAGTTACTGAAGTAATAATTGTCAAAAGAAAAAGCTGCCAGTTTCAATAGTCAGGCTTAACTTGTCAATTATTCTTTATATCAAATGTCAGAGGAAGAAGAAACAGCTCCCTTTGACATCCAGTGCCTTGGGAAGAGCAATGAATTTCACAGCAACAGCAATCACATCCCTGCTCTATCCATCATAACCTTTGGCAGCTACTGACACAATGAAAACAGATGGAATTGTTATCCTGGTTGGCAAGGAAGCCCTGGTCATCTGAGATTTAGGACAGTTTACCCAAGAGATTGCCTTCCAAAACATCCTGTAAAGAAATGTGCAAGTTTTGGTGGGAAAAACTGCTTACAGCAAGGCTGTAATGAAAACTTTCACAGTATCCATAACAAGACAAGACAACACACCCTTTGCAGGAAATCTACCATCCATTATATGGGATTATGCTTGCCGCTGGATAAAACAAATCTCTGCTCAAAAATCACAAATCTGCTATGAGTTGGATGGGGCGTGGAGGAGAACAACTGTTAAATGTTAGAACTATAATGTAGTTCATGCCATTTTTGGTACATATATTAAAATAAGGGGATGTGAGACACTATTTAGGGAATTACATTAATCTTCCTATGACTTATGTTAAAGCAAAATACATGTATATATGTACATACTGGGACATTAATGGATGTAAGAGATGCATCTTTATAAGAGGAGTTTAGAGAGAAAATGTTTAGACAGCTAAAATTTAGGCATAGCTAGGCAGACTGGATCTCAGTCTCTCTAGCATCAGCTGGTGTCACCTTTAGAAGTTGAACTACTTCAGCTAAGATCTGAATCCTGCACTCCAAGGGCTCCCTCACTCTACAGGCTGTAGAGGAAGTCCTGGGTAATCAGGTTTATATCTTGGGTGGGTGAAGTAGATGCTTAAAATTGTGTAAGATAATCATGACCAGCATGTCTGTGCCTTAGGGTTGTCTATGCACACAGTTACTGTGGAGAGACATTATTCTTCCTGAATTACATTGCATGTGAATACACTTTTGGCTGAGTAAGACTTATTTCTCTTCAACAACATTCTCTTGAGAGAGGCAGAGCAGTTTGCTTTTTATTCCTCACGTAGAATACTTCTGCAAGAGCTGCTACCTTTTTAGTGAGCTGTCCTACCTTAATCCAAATTTATTGTAGTGTAAAAATGCCCTAAATCTGCCATCCAATCACCTTTGAGAGCAATTTAAGTTTTATGGTGGTAAGAGCATCAATTAGGCACAAATACATTGACAAAAAAAAATAGTGACGGTATATACAATAAAAACCTACATTTATTTCACAAATTATGAGTGTAATAAACCCTATTGTTTCAGGAAAAATGACTGTATTTGCCCATATGTTTCATTAAAGAATAATAATGCCATACATATTTCATTCCCTTGTTCTGAGCAGCAAAACTCTTAACTATATAAAATGCCCCATGCTGTCCTTGCTTTGTTGGGTTGTTTTTTCCTTTTAATCAGATTTTTCCTCCTGAACTAATGAAATTGCTCTTTAAGCACATACAAAATTTTCATTTGAAGTGACTTATCATGGCTCAAGCAGTTTGTCTGTTCTCCTGGAGAACAAGGCAACTGCCATCTCCTTGTGCTGTGCAGATCCAGGTCACGACTGCCTCTGATCCCCAGTGTGCTGAGTTCTCTGCACCCCCACTAGCGCTGCTTTAGGTGGAGTATGATGTCTGTGGGGTCTGCACCTTGCACATCTGCACTGGTTTCTGGCCCACTTTGTCTCACATTACATTTCTCTCTTCCCATAGTATGCACCGACCCGCTGTGCAGCTGCGCAGGCATCCACGGAGCAAGGCATCCTTCCTCCCTGCCATCACCACGAAGCAGTGCACGACCCCCAGCTGGTCCCCTGCACGTGCCCGCTCTTCTCCTGCCCATGGGAAGGGCACCTAGAGGTGGTGGTGTCCCACCTGAGGCAGACCCACCGCATCAACATCCTTCAGGGCGCGGAGATTGTCTTCCTGGCCACGGACATGCACCTGCCCGCACCAACAGACTGGATCATCATGCACTCTTGCCTTGGCCACCAGTTTTTGCTGGTCCTCAGGAAGCAGGAGAAGTATGAGGGCCATCCCCAGTTCTTCGCCACGATGATGCTGATCGGCACGCCCATCCAAGCCAACAACTTCACCTACCGGCTGGAGCTCAACAGGAACCAGCGGCGCCTCAAGTGGGAGGCGACCCCCAGGTCCATCCTGGAGTGTGTTGACTCTGTCCTTTCGGACGGGGATTGCCTTGTGCTGAACACTTCCCTGGCTCAACTCTTTTCTGACAATGGAAGTCTAGCGATAGGAATTGCGATAACCACCAGCAAAGTTCACAGCTCTGAAGCTGAAATGTGATGGGGAGGAGGAAGAGGAGGAGGAACAACAGCAACAACAATGGTGCTCTAGCTGCCTTCTGAGAGCCAGAACTCATGGACTTTTTATGGGGGGGGAGGGAGGGGGGATCTCGGGTCTTTTATGGTATTTAGTACTTGTCCACAGTGGGCATTATGTAAACATCCCGTGGTTATGGTCCCTGTGTCATGTATTTACCGTTTTGCTAATACAATTTTATGAGAAATTTTAAAGAGGCTAATCAATTTATTGTTGCCCTCCAGCAGCACTGGAAACAATACTTGTTAATGGAAAGTGCACCCTGGGTGACTTGCAGAAACCTTTGGTCTGACCATGCTATGCAAATATGTTTCCTTCATTGCCTGCCTAATGGACCAGAGGCCCCTGTGCCTGATGGAAGGTGAAGTATTCCACTATGGGACAAGAGCACACAGGTTTCCATATTAGCAATAGTGATTTAACTCCTGTATTTTGGGCACAGCCAAGCCCTGTGGGAGCTGGCAGTTTCAGGGCTCCCTTCAGCTTCTGAGGAAACAAATTTGTCACCCAAACAGTGAAGGCTTAGAAGCAGAGGGCTGGGAAGCCTCATCCTGCATTAAACTGGGAATAACAGCTAGTGGTTGGTCACTGTGAGCATGGTTAAATCTCACTCTTGTATCATAAACAGCAGGGAGGGATTGCTAGATGGTCTGGCCATAGCATGGATATAACCATACCAAGCCATTGGGGCGTCCATCTTTTTAGCTGCTGTTTCCTTAAACATTCAATAAGAGATTTTCAGAAAATAAAGCATAAGAAGAGTCCTAAGCTGGGTACTGATCTTGCTACTGAATTCTGTGCTAGTTAAACCCTCAGTTTGTGCTGCTAAATACTGATGTACAGCAGTATAGATAGGAGACCTGTTTGCAAACTGGCTTTGAGATTTGGCAGGCACTCCTTTGAAGAAAACCTCAACGTTTTTTCCCTTGCATACATTTTGTGGGGTGGTGGTGAGGGGTGACTATCGCCTTCTCCTGAGGGTGTTTCACAAACAGTGATGGTCAAAAAAAAAAAAAAAACAGGTTTCTCTAAGAGATTCTCCCTTGAATAGTTCCTTGGGGGAGAGTTGGAGGCAGGTACTGGCCGTCTCCTGTCACTCATTCCCATCTGCAGTCAGGCCTGTTTCCTCCACAGCCAACAGCAGCGGTGAAATCCCACTGCAGTATGTGATGTGTTGAAGGAGGGCCTCAACAGATAGTGTGACACATGAGAAGCATGGGAAAGTGTCTTTTCCCGTTTTCCCTTCTGCCTGTGTGTGGCTGTGGTCTGGCTGCTCCTGAATGCTTTTTCAAGAAACATCTGGTGGGTTGGGTCAGTTAGTAGCTAGAGAGACTGAGGCTCATAACTTGAGCCTCTTGGAAAACCAAGGAAGCTGGGGAAACAAGCTATGAACAGTCCTTCAGTGTTTCAAAATGCATCTCACTCTAGCTTTGGGTAGGCAAAAACACTGATGCTGATCTCTCCCACTCCTTGCTCTCCTGAGGATTACTATAAATGATGCATGAAGTAAAATGAATTGTAGTTTCCTGAGATGAATACCATGCAGGTAAATGACTTCTGAGGCATAGATGCACCTTGTCTCCTCACCTGGACTTTCACAGCAGGTTAGAGAAGTGTGAGGGTCTCTTCTACAGGCTGCTCATGACCACACAAGCTGAGATCTGAGGAAGTCTCAGTCCCTATAAGAAGGCACTTGAGCTTAACTTCCCAGCTCTTCCATCTCTGAATTTAGAGGGCCAAGGGTGGCACACTGATTTGCAGTGCCTCACTGGAACAGTCAGACTTCAGAGAAGCTGGCTTTTTCCCTGCAGTGTTAAATATTCAGGACCAGAAAATGCTGCCCTTTCCCAAAGTGATAGCAATAAATAAATCATTGGTGTTTTTGTGGACTGAAACTGGCTTCTCCAGCTCCTCCAACAATTGTTCTGCTGCTGAATTAAAACAAAGCAAAAGAAATAAAACCTCAATAAAACCAGTTCCTCTAGTTTAAACTTCCTGACCTCTTTGTACAATGGGGTAGAGACCAAATTTAATGATGCTTTTGTTGCCTGACCACAAGTTCTAGGGGGAGGTATATTACTTATTTATTTTTTCAGTCTATTTTCTTCTTGTTAGTTGGCACCATTTTTTTCCTTGAAATATCTATGGAAATGTAGGTATTTTGGGGCATGGTCTTTGCTAAAGGCATATTTCAGGTAGAATGAGTGTAACAGTATCAGCTCTCTGGAATGGAAATCTCCATCCCTTGACAGCACCCTGGTTTTGAAGGAAGGATAGTGGAAATGTAACCTTCCCAACATAACTTTTCACACGTCCCATGTGTTCTTCTCCCAGAGCTTTCTAGCAACCACACCAATAGTTCAGCTTTTCCATTTTGTTTTCAGTCTTCTCCCCTCATCTGATAGCTGCCTTCCTCAGCCTATTTTCTCAGCCCTCTACTGTGATTTCACCCTTTGACTTGCAGGCCCATGGCACTTCTTGCTTTCTCACATTTACACCTGTTGGATGCCATTGTTTAAATTGTTCTCCCTACTTTCTGAAGCCAACCAAGTAACCTCCTTTATCAGTTTTCTCCACATCTGAAAAAAGACCCAGCTCTCTCAGGGATTTCAGAAAATCAGATACATTGGAGTACTGATTAAAATCTGTCCAGTAAGTCTCCCTATAAAGAAAAGGAAGACATATTTTGGGAAGAAATGAGATGCGGTTGCCTAAATCCAGCCTTCATAAGTGTCTCAACATGAAGTGCAAATGTTTTAAGGTATATTTAAGGACTTTCTACCATAGAAGACAGTCTAGTTCTGTCATAATTCAAAGCCTTTGAGCAACCTTATACTGCCATAAAGCAAAGGTGAAGCAAATATTCCACACGGTAGGGCATAAATCCTAAAATACTGGCAAGTAGGATCAACAATAAAATTCAGTTTGCCAGCATTCTTTCAGTGCTTTTAGTATAACACTTTTTACAGCTCTGCTTATGTTTGAAAGGTAGCTGAAGCTTGGCTTCCTAAATTTGATCTGAAATCAGGGCTCCTAAAACTAATTTTGCACTCTAATATTTTGCATCTTTATAGTATATTAAATTTGAATTCCTGACTTCCTGTGAAGAACACAGCCTTATATCTCTTTGAAGTAAGGAAGTACCCTCCATGTGGTGCAGGAGAAAACAAGGTCTTTCAAAACTGCTATGCAGCTGTTGCAAAATTCTGTTTTCCCAGCTACCTGGGAGTGGTGTTCCCCCTTTCTTTTGGTGGGGTTTCAGTTGTCTTTTGGTTTTCTACACAGACATAATATTGGCTTTGGGTTTGTGGTTTTATTTTTAGGGTTTTTATATATCTCTGTTCACAGATGGATTTTCTTGTGCTTAGTTTAGTAAATTGCAACAATAATTTCATCAGGCTGAGACAGATGGATTGCTACCAGACACACTAGAAAACCTACTTTTGTTCATCTGCACTATCCATCAGATACCATGTGAATGTAAATGTCAGATCTGCAGTAAAACAGCATTAGTGCTTTCAGCTCAATTCCATTATGAATTAAGCTCACATCATAGATCCATGACTCCTTATAAATCAGCTGAAGCATCCTGAGTCTCATCATGTTGAAGATCTTGCTGTGCCAGTGCTGGCTGTAGGGCTTGTTGAGAAGTAGGGCAATAGTCCTCCTCTCACTGGACTTGATATCACACCCTCTGTTTCATACCATCCTAATGAATACAGGCCAGTAAATACTGAAGGAACAAGAGGTGGTAAATACTGGACAAATTAGGGTTATAACAAAATTAGTCACTTACAATAAATTGCTGGATGCTACTTCATGGCTCTCTCTTTTGTGCATCAGACGAACTAAATCCAATTGACAGTACTGTAGTACAGGTGATTTATCTGTTTTTCCTGCCCAACACACACCTGACAAACACTTTAGTTGGAGAAGAGTCTGTCAGAACAGACTCAGAGGTACTTCTTCTGCAATTGAATCAGAAACAGCTTCTCACATGGAAGAGCTTCAGATTTTGAACTGCTCCAACACAAGCATAAGTTTTAAATTTTTTTTAATTTTTTTTTTTTTTTTAGTTCAATAAACTCTGCCTGCTCATACCATCAGAGTGAAGGGCGGAAAACAAAGATTGCCATGTGTCATCACCAGAACTCCTCACGCACAAATATGATTCATCTTCTGCAGAGATGAGCCTGCAGAACAGAGAGGGTTTCACAGCAGGGTAGCATAGGGCAGCACCTGTAGGCTCCAGAGGTGTGCACATAGAGCTGAGGGCAGAGTTCATCCTCCAGACAGAAACAACTCAATAGGAACCCCTTGGAGTGTGCTCACGGTGGGACTGTTAGGAAAGCAATTGGACCTCCTGGGAGTAGCAAACAGCAGGAGTTAAAGCTCTGTGTAGAGATGTTTCTCTTCTCATCAGCACCTTCCACCTGGCTACAGAGTCTCTCCTTCCTGGGAACCTTGTCTCTGGAGCAGTGCAGGTGATCAGATCAGCTGGGTCTGCATCTGAATGGTCCTGCACAAGGATGCTGCATCCTGAGTGCAAACACCCAGCCCCAGTCCAGCCTTGCACCTTTGGGTTTAGTGGGTACCCAGCTGCCTGCAGCTGCTAATGATTCCTCCAGGTCCTGACACCTGACAGTTCTGCTGCCTTTCACCTGCACAGTTCCCACCAGGGCAATAAAGTACTTGCTGAAAACCACACAAAAAATCTTTGACAGAACATCATATTAAACCTCTACCTCATACCTCTGGCTAGGACTACAAGCAGTCATTCTTTCTTTCTCCACACAGGCAATAGACTAACACATAGCTTTCTTATCGCCCTTTGGGCTCTGCCACTCCAGAACATACTTGTGAAAGATTAGGAGGCAGTGATCATCTTCAAGGGAATAATGAGGACTAACTTTCATTGCAAAGATGGCTCTTCTCACAGTACTTTCACAAAAGGATGCCAAGCTCCAAGAAAGAAACTAACAAACTCTGGTGGAAGGAAAAAGGGAAACACCAATTGCAAAACCTGCTGTACTTCAACCAGAATGAGCTTTATGTCTTCCAAGTAGGAAAAATCTTCCTGAGATATTGCCTGTCTGAATACATCACTTAATCTTGCAGAAAGCTCCAGGACAGAGAGGTTCTCCCTGTTAGAAATTGCATCAAGTAACCTTATTGATGATAAATGGCTTTGAAC